TTATCCTTTATATATTGTATTTAAATATTTTAAATATAGGTTTTAATTTCTCAACATATCAAAGAGATACTTAAATTATCATCATCACTTATATAATAAATATTCATATAATTAATAAGATTTAATACATGTAAATTGTCTCTTATATTTTGAGAAATCATGAAAGATTCTTTTGTAAGATAGCTTTATCTTACTATTATCCTTCCAATTTGTATTTTTTTAGTGGAGTCTCACTATTTTTTTTTAGTTGGTGGTGTATTCTCAAAAATTATCTAGAGATTTGATATAATTTTTATAATTAATATGACTACTGCAATTAATATTCATAAGATCAGTATAAAAAAAGGACTATTGCAGCACTAATAATAGGCTTTCCCAACAATATTCACCACCACTATATATCTTGCAGTGGTTTGAAAACCGTTGCAAGCTAGGCCGTAGTGATTATATTGTATTGCAATGACATTTAACGAACGTATATAATTTTTATAATTAATATGACTACTGCAATTAATATTCATAAGATCAGTATAAAAAAAGGACTATTGCAGCACTAATAATAGGCTTTCCCAACAATATTCACCACCACTATATATCTTGCAGTGGTTTGAAAACCGTTGCAAGCTAGGCCGTAGTGATTATATTGTATTGCAATGACATTTAACGAACGTTTCAAGTTCGTTGGTGAAAATGTTCGTAATTGCTGGTTATAGCGGTAGAACCGTCACATTTTTACAGAATTGATACGGTTATGAATGCCACTAAGGCTCAAAAATGAGATTTTGTTATCGAGTTGTAGCTTATCGATGATTCTTAATTTAGAATATAGTAGGGCAGTGTAAGATCAGTTCTTATTTTGAAAGCTTGGTGATTGTAAATGAAACTTCTCTATTTGAGTGCATTAGGGATAGTGTTCATCCACAACTTATCTATGCTACACTCATGTTTAGGGGTATTGCATGAGGGCTAGGTGTAACATTGTTTGGACTTGCCATAGGCATTACTTGTATATGGAGTTGACTTTATATTTGCAGGCATGGAGATATTTGAATATTTACTAGTCCAACATCATGATTGCAATACCTGGCTTTTTCCCTTTGGTTAATTAGACTTAGGTGGGCTTCCTATGAATAATGGGGGAACATAAAAAGTTGATTGTTTGATTTTCTTTTTTCCATAATAAAATGGCAAAGCGAGCAATATGTCATCACATTCAATGTCTAATTGGCTTCTCGTATGAACCGTCTAAAATTAAAATTGTTGATGAGACCCATATAGATAAAACATAAGCATCCAAGGATAATAAACACATTAACGCTCGATCGAATGCGCGCGATCATGCGAGTCAATCATAATAAGTGTGAATTTAATTTTCTATGGTTTTAGTTTCAGGTTGAATGAATACTAATGTCATTATCTTTCATGAAGGGGTCAAATAGGTAGTGAGGCTAGTCTAGTAGGCATTCAAAATAAAATCTCATTTAGAAAGTCAAATTAAGATTTTTGGATGTCTACTTTGACGTATCTAGTTCATAAGTAATTAGTGACGGACATTCATGAAAAATGGACATTCAGTCAATCACTATCATAAGGGACTAAACATATGTAACATATAAGAGCATCCTAATGTTTTAATTATGTGCCCTTTTGTATGATTAACTCATAACTATGCATTAAGAATACTATTAGATCGATCATTTCGGCATATTTTTTCCACCATAATTATAATTTGTTACAATTTCAATTATTAGTTCTTATTATCTAAGTTGACTGTATTTTCATATAAATGTTTCAAATATAAAGTGGTGGATGAATTTAAATTTAATGTACCAAAAATTTATATTAGATAATCTAATTCTTGACAATCCTCTTTTAGGACCATTATTTCTTTTGGGAGTGAGATTTTTTTTTTCTTAAATAAGATCATCATAAGAATATGAAAGGTGATAATGGGCATCCACAATTGGGCATTTTAATGACCATGGAAGGATGACTAGCCTTCAATCTAAGATGTGTTTTGACCTAAGAGATGAAGATAGGAGGTATCATGCAATAAAATGAATCCTCCCATTAAATTTTCTATCCTAGTAGAGAAGACGATAAAGAGTTTGATGGCTAAGGAGACCTACAATAAATAGCCTTAGATATGTATGGGAGATATAAGCTATGCACCTAATTGACTAGGTCATCTTCTCTCACATGAATGATGGGAGTGATATGAACCATGTAGAATGGGATAATATTCCATTTCATTTGTTCGAGAGATCACAGCCTTAATATGCACAATTGAACGAACTATAAAATTCTCATAGGTGGTGAAAATAAGGGATAATGAGGTGTCAAATGACTAATAGTGAGCTATTGAGGTTGCATCTCATAGTGGCACACCAACCCAGAAGGTAGGACCAAGTATGAAGCAATCACTTTGATTCTTAGGGAATTGGTATTAATATTATACTCTGATATATGGTGATGACCATATGATAATAAAGTTAAGTCGTTGTCAGAGTATGGGATGCTTGATGCTTATAAGGGGCATTCCACTAAACTAGTGTCTAATATAAGAAAATTACACTAAAGAGAGACCACAAGCATTAGACACATTCAAAAAGAGGGCCATACATAGATTTAGAATTTAATGGTTTCATTCTTGTAATGAGGTTGACTTGGCTTAGTCTTGTCAAACATAGCCTAAGCTCTTTCTTGTCCTTCTTTAGTGGAAATAAGCCAATCTAGGCCTCATTTGGTAGACACCACCATTAGCTGACATCCTAGGTATCTTTATACCCCATTCATAATCATAATATATTAAAGCCCCTTTTATTGGACCCTCAAGGTTGTCCCCTACCAAAACTATTGATTGTGTTATTAGATTGTAACTTCCTCCTTGTTAGAAGGAGCAATGATTTTGATAATTATCCTAGTCTTTAGCATCATAAATATGGTCGGTTTCATTAACTTTAAACTCCATTAGCAAGAAAGAATCTCCCTACAACACACTCATCATCCATCATTCCATTTTTAATGACGACTTTCCTAAATATTGGATCTCTTATATTATCACTATGTCATCTCATAAGTTTGGACGCTATGGTAAACTTACCATTAGTTTCTTTTAAAGTTAGTACGAACATTGGAAGAGCCATCTCCATTTTTATTGGGAGGTTAAAGACCAGCTTAGGGACCAAAGGCTTACTTTATAATGTATTGAACTAAAAAATCAAATCAAACTGATTAATCTCTAAAATAAAATGTCTCTAAAGTGCTAAAATCTCCACTTGGACCCAATTCCTATGGTGTTTCAATTATGTTCACCATCATCATATCTAAAAAAAACCCTTCATGCGCTCTTCAAAGATTATGACTTGATTAATTTGTTCTTTAATAATTATCCAAATTTCCACCTCTACTTAACCAAAAGCTTTATCTGTAATAGCCTCCTCAGGCTTAGGGGATCCCTAAACAATAACCTTTCAATTCTAATAGTGTTGTTCGTGGAAGATACAAATCAACCGCCCAATAGAATATTTCAAGATTTTTTATCTAGATTATAGATGTATTTGCAATATGAACCTTACAAAATAATTCTAGACTCACAAGAAGCAATATAACTACTGATTTCAAAATAACTGATGGAAATATAATCTCAGAAAAAATCCAGATCCAGGAAAAATATAAACAAGAACATAACAGAATTATGTGGTTCAAGTTATTGCGAATTCTATATCCATGGGACAACCTCGATCATCTCCTTTATTCAAATATGAGTGAAAAAAATTGGGTACAAGAATTATATAAACAGAAAAGAAAACTCTCTAAGCAACCAACTAACGACTTAGCTGAAAAGAAACCAGAAATAGAAACACAGCTAAAGAGATTTCTACATACAAAAGATCACTAACAGATCTTTAACAAACAAACAGTAACAAAGATTCCTTCAACTTCTTTTACGAGATTCTAAAAGAAATTAAGCCAAAGAGACAACATATAGTCGGATATGCCATAGAATAGATAAATCCCCAAATTGAAATAATGCTTCAATGTAACCTTTCTTTCTTATGAAAATAAGAAAGATATTACATGCATTTAAGCTAATAACCAAGCATTGCAAAAGGATCAAGCCTCATAGTCTGTATTTTAGCTTCCAACTGACATTCCCTTGCGATTGTCTATCTCGGAGAAGATAGAATAGCAAGAGAGACAAGAAAGATTCACCCTCTTCAACACACACAATAAATCCTTCAGATTTCTCTAACCCCCTCTTCTTCCTCCTCACACAAGAAGCAAAAAAATAAACCCTAACCCTCACTTCGGCTCTCCGCTCTCAAACATGAAAAAACAGAGAAATAAGATTCTCAACACAACTCTTCTTCTCAAAGCACCCTAAAAATATGTATTTAAAGAGAAAAGACAAAACAACCCTTATACAAGAAAACAAAGAAATCAGATAAAGCTGAAAACAATAAGATAATTAATTTAATTAACTAAATAATTAAACTAATTAGCTCATTTTAATTAAAACACTAATATCAATTCTCCACCTTGTTTTACAATAAAATATAGGAATAAAAATAAAAATAAAATTGCCCAAAACTTGAAACCATTACTTACACATATTTTACAATTTTTAGACCGTGTCTAAATTTGTTAAAAGAAACAACTTTTGTAGCCATGTTAGCATGATTGTCATTTGTAGAAATCTTAGTAAGCTTTACAACACTTGAATTTACCTGATCACGAATGAAATGGTAACAAACATCCACATCCTTTGTTCTTTCATGAAAAATTGGATTTTTACACAAATACAATACACTTAGACTATCTGTAAACACAGTAATAACATTGTAAAAAATATCAAATCCACTAAGAAAACCTTGTAACCATACATACTCTTTCATAGCCTCAATACCTGCAATATATCTATTTAAATAGAAAAGACAAAACCGCCCTTATACATGAAAACGACGGGAGCTTGGTAAATCCGGTTGTCAGTGAATTTGTAAATCCGCAAAACCAAACCGAGGGATTTAGTAAATCCCGAATTTATGTTGTAAATCCGTAAATCTGGGATTTAACGAGCACTGGGATTTAAGGTGTGCACAAAAACGATTTGATATGATTTAGCATAAATCCCGTCTAAATCCGGCTGTAAATTCAATACCGAACAGCCCCTAAGAACAGGGGCAAATTATTGTATCCGGTCACCTGACAAAGAGATTCGTTCTCTCTGTCTACACTAAAGCGCATGTAAAGCGCATGTATGCTACAATACCCGCGTTTTTACTGTAGACAGAGAATGAATCTCTCTGTCAGGTGATCGGATGCAATAATTTGCCACAGACAGGAGGGTAGTAAAGTTGCCAAAAGTCTAAAGCCCCCCCTTAGGTCTATTCACCCAAATTCAGAACCGCATTTCATCTCTAACCAGCTGATGGCCTCTTCCAGAAAGGAAATCAACAATTTCGACGAAGTCCATAGCATCGGCCAACCAGTCGGCAACTTCCGATAATCTCACCCGATAATTCTTTGACTTCACCCTTTAGGCTGCAAACATTTCATTTATCCGTCTCTATTTTAATGATCCACGTCTCATCCATTAACCAGTCGGAAAAGCAGATGAAGCCTCATCGTCCGCCGCGTGTATCTCATCCGTCGTCATTACAAAATATCTGAGCCCCCCTTCCAGGTTCCAACCCTCCGAGGACACGCGTCCCTCCGCCGGCTTGCCGGCATCTCCTTTCTAATATATGTATTGCTTCTTCCTGCCCTGCTTCAACCGACACCGAATAAGAAAGGTGACTCTCCTCCTCATGACTCATTACACTTTTTCTGACCGCCGGTTCCTGAGCTTTCCGGCGATCAATCCGTGCTCCGCCGTCTCCCCCGCCGCACTCCTCGCCGACCTCTCAACCCTTGCCGCCGACATCGATGTCATTGGTCGCCGCCAAACCGGCAACTTCGGCACTCACCGCCGCGCCGCGCGCGAGGCTTTCCGGTACGCCACCATCATCGTCGCCTTCCTTGACGATCTCCGTCCCTTTTCCACGGCGCTTACTCGCTCGGCCGTGCTCGGCCTCTCCGATCTTCACGTTACTCTTCAGAAGCTTCGTCTTCTCCTCGCCGACTGTGCTCGCGGTGGCGCCCGCCTTTGGATCCTCCTTAACGCCAGTCGTATCGCAGGCGAGTTCCGCGTTCTTCTCCGCTCCGTCTCCATCGCCCTCGAATTCATACCGCTCGACTCCGTGGACCTTTCGGCTGAAATCAAAGACCTCGTGCGCCTCCTCGCCGGCCAAGCAAGGCGCGTCGAGGTTGGCGTCGAGCGGGTAGATGAGCTCGCTGGTAGGTCGGTGCGCTCAATGCTCAAGCAATTCCAATCCGGCGAGTCTCCTGACCCCAACGATCTTCGACGAGTTTTAAACCACCTAAAAATCACATCTTGGATCGATTGCTTCGCGGAAGTTGCGTTCTTGGAAGAAGAAATCTTCGCGGAGGAAAGGAACGGGGAAGCGACACTCCTCTGGAGCTCGATGGGGCTTATGGTATACTCTCTGGTTGTGCTCTTCGACAAAACGGCGAACGACAAGAGCAGGAAGATAGAGGAGTGTTTCCGTCGGCAAGAATCAAGTGTCACCGTCGAGAAACTGAATGCCGACGACCTCCGTTGCCCGATTTCTCTTGAACTGATGAAAGATCCGGTGACGGTCTCCACGGGCCAGACTTACGACAGGTCTTCTATTCTCCGGTGGCTGAAGTCCGGGAACCAGACTTGCCCTGTAACCGGCGAGGTGCTCGCAAATGCCGACCTCATCCCCAATTTCATCATTCGACAGCTGATCAGCCTTTACTGCCATGAAAATGGCATTCTGACTGCTCATCAAGGTAAGGCGCGGAAGAGGGATTTATCAAAGACACTCTCCCCTGCTTCTCCGGCGGCGGTTGGAGCCATTAGGATGGCCACCACTGTCCTTGCCGGCAAATTAGCCACCGGAGAGTCGGAGAAGAAGAACATGGCTTCTTACGAGATAAGAATCCTCTCAAAATCCAACATTTTTAACAGAATCTGCTTGGTCGAGGCTGGCGCGGTCAAGTGGTTACTCTCTGTTCTGTCTTCATCATCGGATCCTACACTGCAAGACAACGCTATTGCAGCTCTGCTCAATCTCTCGAAGCACCACAGTGGCCGAACCGATATCTTCGAGGCCGGGGGTCTCCCTCCGGTCGTCCAAGTCATGAGATTTGGGCACAAGGTCGAATCCCAGAAGAACGCTGCCGCCGTTCTCTTCTACCTCTCTGCAATGGAGGCGTGCAGGGAAGCCATCGGAGAAATACCCGAAGCCATTCCCTCGCTTGTGCAGTTGCTCAAAAATGGAACTTACAGAGCAAAGAAGAATGCAATCGTCACCATATATAGCCTGCTCTTGTTTTCAGGCAACCAAGCCAAGATTTTGGCGGCGGATACAGTGGCCGTGATCGCTGAGCTTCTCGAATCAGAGGAAGATGAAGAAGATCTTGTGACCGACTGCGTCGGTGTTCTTGCTAAGATTGCAGAAAGACCCGATGGCACCAACGAGATTATCAAGTCTTGTGTTTTGAGTCATCTCGTCCATGTGTTGCGGAGCTCGAGCTCTTCCTCAGGAAGGGAGTACTGCGTCTCCGCATTGCTCTCGATATGCAAAAATGGCGGAGATAAAGCGATGAGCTTGTTGGAGAAGATGCCATTGCTCATGCCATCGCTGTACTCTTTACTCTCCGATGGTTCCCGACAAGCCAGTAAGAAGGCAAGGTCGCTGCTGAACTACATACATCAATTCAATGACCAGCGATACTCTCCAGTATTAGCGTTCCATGATCCTATCGTCCATGCTCTATGACCAAAGCTTCCTCTGTGTTTGATGTAAAGTATATACCGAAGTAGTTCTATTCTTTTATTCATATTAGGCTGTAAGTAGTTTTGTATACATACTGTCATCAGTTTTAGCAGATGTTCGTATGTGATCTCAGCTTAGTTTTTTGTAAGAGCTGTGATCTTGAGTGAGATCGGTACTGTATATATAGATAGTATAGTGGATTCAATTACTGTTGCAAAGGATTATTGGTGTTGATAAAGTTTTCTTGATTTTTTTTCTTCTTCTTGTGTTTCTTGGACGAAGAGAAAGCTTGATCTAAGATGTAGAAGATTTCAAGCTCCATGCTCTATGACCAAAGCTTCCTCTGTGTTTGATGTAAAGTATATACCGAAGTAGTTCTATTCTTTTATTCATATTAGGCTGTAAGTAGTTTTGTATACATACTGTCATCAGATTTAGCAGATGTTCGTATGTGATCTCAGCTTAGTTTTTTGTAAGAGCTGTGATCTTGAGTGAGATCGGTACTGTATATATAGATAGTATAGTGGATTCAATTGCTGTTGCAAAGGATTATAGGTGTTGATAAAGTTTTCTTGATTTTTTTTTTTTTATCTTTTGTGTTTCTTGGACGAAGAGAAGCTTGATTCTAAGATGTAGAAGATTTCAAGCTGGATAATTTTTTTTGGGGAGAATTGAGGGTCTTTTAAGTTCCTTAAATGATTAATATTAAGATATCGAGAGTCGGACGTGGAGGCCTGTCATGTATAGAAAGGGGAGATGATAATGTTGTCGAGAGTTGGGACATTGATGTTGTACAATGGGCATCGGGCATTCGACCCTCAATGTCAAGACAACGTCAATTGTTGATGCGGAGATGATGTTCATGATTAGATGTCGGGACAACACGTGGGTGTGATTGTGAGTGTAGAAATTACTGGCGTCGAGCGTCAATATGAAAATAACATCGTACTTCAATGTTGAGATGATTTCAAAACATTAATGTTGTGATGACATTGGATGGACGACATCTTGTATTATTGTAAAACCCTAATCATTAACCACTAGAGAAAAATGAAAATGAAAAATGTTCGTGGAATGAGATGTTGAATACGGTCGATTGATTTGGGGCTATGAAGAGGAAATAATTTTTTGTTATTTTTATAATAAATTAAATTTGAAATACAAGAAATTATGTTTAAAATATTTTCATTAAATATTTAAGACATGTGTCAGACACATATGTCCAATTTATTTTTAATATTTTTTAATTGTACACATCTTTGACATGTTTGGCACGTGTCAGAGGCGTGTCGTATCGGACACGTGTTAGACACTGAATACCTCTTTGAGGAAAAGTGACATTGCATCATAAACACCAAGAAATCTACTATAAAAATTGAGAGAATTTGTACATTTCTCTCTCTTACTCTCCTTATCTCTCTCTTCACACTTACATGATTCTCACACAAAAACTAACAAAGAGATAACAAATTAAAAACACCAAGAGACACAACCCTTCATGAAAAGCAAAAAATTTTCCAACCCGGCTCGTAGCACTGTGGCACTCCACGCTCTGTTTCCAGTCTGTCTGACATGTCGCAACGCTGGAATTTCAAGTGTCGCGGCGATCCGCTCTCTATTTTCCACCAACAAAAAAAAATTTTGGGAAGACCCCCTGCAACCCTCCAGTGAGCCCAATTAATGAAATTAAGATCTGAGACAACAATACAACCCAATTGTGATTGACACGATCATATTCCACAAAAAAAATAAAAAAAAAACACTAAACTTACAATAAGATGTTATTTAATGATAACATTCTCCAATGAGCATAGCAAATATGATACAATTTTTATAATATTTGTTAGAAAGTTATAGGCATGTACGAGTCCCATATGTTATTATTTCATTCAAGAATTTTGTCTATATATAATCCTGTCAACATATCATGAGAAATTTTTCATCCAATCTATACCTTATTTTCTTCACTCAAAATATTAAATATATTCAAATGCCATAATAGTGCCTTCATAAATTTGAACTAATATATCATGCATAGTGGCCTTTCAAAGCTCAAAATTTATTAAGCCATCAAACTTCTCATACTTCATTATAATCCTATTCTATGTTATGCTCCAATATCAGTTATTAAGAAAAACCTAATTTTTAATACATAATTGTCTGCAAAGAGCAAATATAATGAACATGCAAAGTAATAGCAATGAGGTCAAACACATAAGAAGGCATCCAAATTTATGAGTTTAAATTAAATAAGTCTCCATCCATAAGAGGAGAGAGAGAGAGAGACAGAGTAAAATTTGCAACAGATGGGTAAATCAAAAGTTTAAACCATACATTGGAACAATATTTGCAAGATTATACAGTACTTCAATAGATCTGAGCTTATGGTCATCTTATCTTTGTTGGGTACGTAGGTTTATATTACAGCACACGATTTCACTTAGAGCTACAAATAAATTGAGCGTTCGACAAACTACTTGTAACTCGGCTCAATTACAGCTCGTGCATAATTATTTGTTTAAGTAATCAAACAAGTTTAAACAATTTTTTTAAATATTTGAATATCAAATAAACAAACTTGAACAAGTATGTGTTCTGCTTGTTTATATTAATGACCTAAACTTTAAACAAAATTATATGAAAATATACAAATAAAGATCTAATCAAGCTTCTTATCGAGCTTGTTCTAATTTGTTTATAAGAAGAATCATTTTATGATCTTGTTTGTTCGTAAATAGACTCGTTTGGTGGATCAAAAACAATCCCTATATATATGTTCATGCTCTACGTGATTGTTTACTATTAGGTTCGATAAGCCTTATGAACATAAACAAATCAAGCTCGAACCCAAATAAAAAAGCTTGAATCTAGCTTGAACCAATCTTGAACAAGCTGATAATAAACAAGCTCAAACATGAACAAACACTTACTCAGCTCAGCTCAGTTCATTTACAACCCTAATTTCACTCGGCTACCCAAATGACTTCAAACCAAGCATTTTATGTTCAACGACTGCCTTTTATTCCAGCATATGTTTGAGGAAGTTGAACCATTGAAGTATCAGATTCCACCTTATAGGATAGAAATTATTTGCTATGCATGCTACGATCAAATATGCAAAAGCTCAGCATCAAATGAATGTGAAACCTTCGATTGCGCGTGTCAACAATAAGCATGTCAAAGAAAATTGTTGGACCTTATCGCATTACAGAGTTCATCAGTACGATGGCTTATGGATTAAATTTCTCAGTTCGTAAGCACATCCAACTTGTTTTTAACATTTCAGTACTTAAAAAGCATTCAAAGGAGAGTCCATTAATGTACATATTAATCTACCGTAGTTTAATTTTAACAATCAGCAAATATATTTTCCAGAATTAGATAGCTTCTCGATGCACATCACATCGCCGCACTAAACATCCTGAGGTTTTAAAAAAATGAGCTAATTTGATGTCTGAGGCGGGGCGAATTATTACGTCCGGTCACCGGACGTTCGGACACCCAATTCAGACCCGCCACGTCACCCGAATACACTGGGTCCCGATGTATTTTGGTGACATGACGCGTCCGGATTTGTGTCCGGACATAATAATTTACCCTAAGACAGGGGCTTTCAATATGATTTGTCGAGTTTATCTCTTTATCAGTTCTGAGGATTATGTTGCTTTTGAAGAAGGGTGTGCTATGATGATATCAATACTATTATAATACAAGAATAATATGGGGGAGTGGTTTTAATATATGTATAATGAAAAATAAGCTTTTGTTTGAGACAATTTTATTAATGTTTTTTAAAATAATTTTTTAGTTCAAAATTTTATTGAAAACAACAAAAAAAATAATGACATAAAATTATCTCAAACGAAGCTATTAATTCACAAGCTTTGATAGAAAGCTGATGCGAGGTTGCTATGCTCAAACATAAATAGAAGATTTGCTGGATGGTTGAAGGATTACTATCATACTTCTGTTATAAAGAGTAAATATAGTTAAAGTTCAAGAAGTTATCTTAGGCTAATCTTTTACTAAAAAATTTCTAATTTATTAGATTATTTTATAAAGCAATTTTTTAATACAACAAATATAATTTTTATACTAAAAAATTATTTTAATAAACAGTAAGAAAGCCGTTGCAAATAAAATCTTAAAAAGAGAAGCTTATGTCATTAAGCCCGTTCATTAGGAACTTTTATTATATCCAGTGAACATACGCAGAGGAACGTTCGGTTTTAGGCAAAAAAGCGCCTGTACCGAGTTTTTTGAAAAAACTCGGTACACCTCGGTACTCTGTACTCGGTACTCGGTACAGGCGCTTTTTTTGCCTAAAACCGAACATTCCTCTGCGTACGTTCACTGGATAAAATAAAAGTTCGTTCATCAGACAGTTTGGCCTCTTTATTGGTAATTTAGCTTTTGTACGGATCTTTTAAAAAAAACTAAATCATTAGTAACCCTCTAAAATGATAAATAACATAAAAGATGAAAGATACGAGAAAATTACAGACATTCAAAACCATATGAAAACTTCTTGTTCCAGACAAACCCGATAACAGTACCATCTCTATATAACTAAATACCATCATTAAACCTGCCTGGACCTCAAAGGCAATTTATTGGAAACATTAGCCATATTAGGACAACATCTACAGAGACTGATAGCAGCAGCAGTTGCTGATTAGTAAGTGCGAGGAACTGTGAAATATAGGAAAAATAAAGAGCAGCTGAGGAGTACCTGGCTGCCTTTTAATCTAACTCCAAACCCACCAGTTATCAGCATGACTGGCGTTCTGGAATATGTCGCCGGGGAGATAGCTGCAGCCATCGTCGCTGGTGCAGCCACCTCCCTCAATCAGGCTCTCCTGGAAGTAAGAATCGACGCTGCTGTCGGCTACCGGCAATGCCGGTGGACCCTGGCCATCCACCACAGTGCTCCCCCTGCTCCCTGTACTGAGCCTATCGCCACCTCTCTGCTGAAGCGTGGCTAGCATTTCCATTGATGGTGGAGATGGTTGCCCCTCAATGGCTGTCTTTTCAATGTCTGAATCCAGCTCCTTCACCGCCACCTCCAGCTCCTTCTCTCGCAGCTTCTCTGTTAAGGAAATCACCTGCTAAGAATAGCGACAATTTAATTGCCATTTATCGAGTCAAACATAAACTTCATCATAAAAAATAGTATAATGATAAATTTCACAAAATTTCACGATGATTTGATCATGTATTTAGTTTAAAAAATAATATTCTCGTGGAGGTCTAAGTAGTGAGATGACTAGTTGATTTCATAATGTAAAAGCACTCAAAATTAAAAGAAAATTGGGAAGCATGTATAAAAATACATCTTAAATAGTTCTAATGGATTAGATTTAAAAAAAAATGTGAAAGTAATGATGTAAGACATAATAAGGAGTTTATTTCTTCAGCAAATTTGATCAATGACCAAATCTTTCATAAAAAGAAAAAAATTTATCTTCAATTGGCTTTAAGTTGTAGTCAACATTACGGGTGTAAACGAGTTGAGCCGAGCTCGAGTCACTTCTGGCTTGAGCATGATTAATTAATTGAGTTCGAGTTCGATCTTTATTTTACGAGTTCGAGCTGGCTCGTTTAGCATGAAAGAGAGAAAATTATTATGATTCGAGAAATTATTATAATAAAATAGTTAAAATAACGAGAAAGTAGAAAACATAATAAAAAAATAACTTAATATAATAAAATGAGCTATATTTTTTAAAAAAATTTAACAACTTTGCACTTTAATATATTTTAAGTGAATTTTATATTAATGTGTTTAAACTAGTCAGTTCGCGAGCTAACAAGTCGAGTCAATGCTGACTCAAGCTTAAGCTCGTTAGCATATCGAGCTCGGCTCACCAGCCATTAATCAAGTCGAGCCCGAGTCAGCTCACAATTCAATTAGGCTCACTTACACCCCTAATCAACATCAATCATACATTAATATTAATTTTGAGATTTTTCTCACATAAAAGGATAGTAGTTAATCTTGACAAAAAATGACCCACTTCCAATTTGAATATATCGTCAAATCAAACACATGCTTTCTTTTTCTCCAAGACAATTCAACTATTATAATTTGAATCCACACATTCCATTCTTTTAAAATTAAATTTAACCTACTTATATTCAGAGAATTTCAAGCATTGCAGGGAATTCTAAGAATCAAATTATATTATTGACCATATTAAAGGTAAATACATGCATAATGGAGCATACTAAAAGTCAATTCTAATTTTGAAATGTAACCCTTAGATAATTGTACTATAGCTCATCATTTAGAGTTGTATTGCATAAATAAATCATTATAGAACAAATATATGCCATGGGCTCATTTTTGAATGGCAAAAGTTATTTCAAGTTAAAAAAAAAATCTTCCAAAGTACAATACTATTTTCCTGTCAATTTTTGTGCTAGTCATTATATTTCTACTAATTTCTATTGAAGTGATAACAGTTTGGTCATGGATAATAACATTCTTTTATAACAATTATTTTCTTGTTTCAGCAATATCAAATCGATAAATGGACTATTCAAAAGAAGGCTTTTCTTGAATCACAAGATATGTGTGAAGTTGTTGATGAAGATTATAAAGAGCTACAACAAGGAATCATTCTCAGCATCAACAAAGAGAAGCCCTCCAAGAAAGTCAAAAGAATGAAAAAACTAAAAAAACATTATATTTTATCAATCAATAGATAAATGAACCAGCATTCGAGAAGATTGTGGTGGCTACCACCTTTGATGCAAGCATAGGAGATTCTACAAAATGCTTACAAATTACAATGAAGTAGAGGAGTGCATGGAGGAGCCCGAAATTTCGCAGGACTATTTCACGAGAATCTTAACTATCTTTAATCAATCAAAGAGGAAGAATGAGACTTGGCAAGTCATCCATAGTAACGAAAATTCTACATCTATAGGATGCAAATTTTAATTACTCATTCTGGTAGCTATTGAATTTCATATACATTTTGGTAGATATTGAAAAGATGGAGTCCGGAGGCATGATAATTGATAAGCCTGGTGTTAGACCGGTCCAGCCGGTCCCGTATGCGAAACATGAGGAACTTCTCCGTCTCCTGTATGCACGATCCGACTGCCCAAGTCGGACAGAGCTGTTTAGGAAGGATTTTGAAAGGCGTTAGGAGAGAAACTTGAATGTAAGGATTGTTTAGATATTTTCTTTTGGATTGTATGCATTAAAGAGTTTGTTTTCCTAGTGTTAGGGCATCTTTAATTTGGCTGAAATTTGAGATCTCTTAGGTTTTTGGGCTCTAATGGCATCTAGAGATTTGGGAGGGATAGATCCTCCTCTCAAATAGAGGATCAATTGTAACTTAGTATTTTTCATTTCCATTTCATCAAATAATATAAATTATCTATTGTTTTCCTGGTTTTGTGTGGATTTTTGTGGAAAATTCTCACTATTTTTTCAAAGATTGCTAGAAAATTCTTGAGATCTACAAGTGTTTCCTATCAAATTGGTATCAGAGCAACTTACTGGGCTGAAATACAAGTCTTCCACGCTGAATTTTGCTGCGTTTTGTATCCGATCTTGTTGTTTTTGCCGATTGGAGGCCATAATTCACGTCAAACTTGTTGCTCTTTGCTATTGGAGCCTAAATTCATGTACTCATGGCATGAAGAAAGATAGAAGTGTTGGAAGGGGAGATTAAATAATTGAAAAATGAAATTTCATATCTCCACACTCAACTTTCATATATCAAAAGTCCCATTTCATCCATCCACGAGAAAATGGACGAGAATTTTTCCAGCCTAGAGGAGATGTTGAAGAAGTTGCTCGAGGGCCAATCTAAAATGACGTCGTTAGAGGCGAGGGAAGCCTCGGGCAACCCAGGAAGAGGGGAAAACTCTAATCCAATAAGGCAAAAGGAAGATCATGAGGTGGAGACTCAAAAGAGAGGAGAGAATACCTCTCTTAGAGCCTATTCCTAGGGAGGAGCCGGGTAGAGGGTATGGGGAGAGGAGTGAGGAGGTAGGGCAAGAACGAAGATGTGATGATTTGGAGAGGAGGGGCAGAATTTGCAAGGGAAAGGTGTAATTATGACCAAAGGGGGGTTCAATTTAAAAGGGGAGGGGTTTGTTATGTTCCAAGGGGTGTTGAATTTGAAAGGAGAATGTAGGAATTTGATGAAAGGCTTGGGTATGAATGTAAAAGGGATAATTGGGATACTTGGGGGAAACCACCCCTTGAGGAAGGGAAAATTATGAAGGGAACAGAGAGAACGGACGCGATCTGAGGTTGAGGAAGTAGAAGATGCCTATTTTTTAGGGAGATGATGTCCATGAGTGGATCTACAAGATTGAAGGGTATTTTACCATCAATAGGTTGACAAAGGCTGAGAGACCGACGGTAGCCGAGATGTGCTTAGAAGGAAAATCTTTAGCATGGCACCAGTGGAGGGATATGAGGCAACCGATAAGGACCTAGAGGGAGTTTAAGGGTTGCCTACTGGAACTTTTCCAAACTAGCAGTGGAGGAGACTTTTATGAGCTGTTCTTCACTTTGATACAGAAGGAGGCTGTTGTGGAGTACTGTGAGCAATTCGAGTACCTTACCAGTCGATTGGATCGCCTTCCAGAGACTATACTGGAGAGGAACTTTATGAAGAGACTGAAACTAAAGATCTGCGGAGCGATTAGAGTGATGAGACCTCGTGACTTAGGAGAGGCTAATCTGATATCTATATTAGTATTAATTATAAATTATATTCTTTATAATTAAAATTAATTAGGAATCCAAAAAAAATTTATAAATTATATTCTTTTATAAAAAAATTATAAATTATATTTCATGTTTCAATACATACATTATTATTAATGTTAAGTTATGCATACAAACTTGGTTTGTACATAAGTTCTATTACTAATATCATGTCATACATACAATGCATTGTTTAAAATTGCATAATATGAGGCTCTCCTTGAGGCCCGCCTTTGCGCAATTCCATTGAAAAACGCCTCAAGGCTTACGCCTTGAACCTTTTTATGAGGCTTGCGCCTCAACTTGGCTGCGGCCCGCCTTGAGAAGCGCCTCGCCTCGCTGGCGTGAGGCGGTACGCCTCACCCTATTTATATATGTTTTTTGTTAAAACTTACCTAAATACTAAACTAAAGCCCGAAACAAATCATGCCTTAATGCACCCCCGAGCCACAACAACTTCCTCGCGACTCCTCGTCCTCTTGCGTACCGCCTTTGTCATAGCCACCACTATCGTAGCCATCTTCGGGGATCACTTGAAAGCCACACACTACCACCACCTCTAAAAATTTAAGAGTATTACTCTCATCATTAAATTGATGACAAATATTTATGAAAGACGAATATGACTAAAATAAATGATGGAGAAGTAGATTGTGAGACATGGACTCCACATGATGAGACAGAGGAGAGATCAACTTGTTATGATGATGACTCCAATAAAAACCCCCTCACTGATGACCATGCAAATGATTTCTGAGTTGTTGACAACTATTTTAACTTTTTTTAAGAATTAATTGTGGATGAGTAAGTGAAAAAGAAGGAATTTGAAGTTAAACTTGATGTTATCTGATACTTTTATGCAATTCTTATATTTTATGTTATTTTGTTATTAGATTTCAATTCTATTTCATGTAATTTATCACTTGTTACTTCATGTGCATTTTTTTTTTCATATGATCAATTTGTTTCTTCATAGTTCAATAAAAAGCTAATATGCCATTCTTTAGCATATTATTTTGGTATTATATAAAAAATAACTTTTAACTTTTATTTTCTCTTAATGCAATTATTCGATTTTGAGGCTTACGCCTCTCACAAATGAAAAACGCCTCAATACCCTAATTACAAGCTAATTAAACTTTGATACAATGTATGCTCTAATTACAAGCTAATTAATCTGCAAGCAACCATATTGTTCTCATCCATGCACTGATGTCAACTATAGATTTTATGTAAATTACTGGGCTTTTTGCCCACTTTATTTTTTTTTGCATGTCTTTTTGATTTTACGTAAGGTCAAGGAGCCCTAAGATTACAGTTCAATTAGAAGGTAGATTGGGTAGGTGCATGAGAGATTTTAAACGTAAT